TAAAAAATGTTTCTCGTGTAAAATATCAGCATATTAGAATGATTTCTGAAGGATCAAAATTGCAATAATATTTCACAACATTGCAGTTTTACTCTATTTTTTGATTAAATGACTGCAGCCTTGCTGAGCATAAGATACTTCTTTCATCCAAACATTAATAAGTGCAAACGATTATTTACTTACTCTGATTAAGTGCGAGTGCAGGAGCATAGATAACCATGCCTGTGTATAAAGCCTATGAGAGATAACAACACCCATTAGATGATTGGACAAGAATCTCTTTTACCTTAAATTCTTCAATATATTCAACACTTAAGCAACATTATGACATGGAAGAAGCATAGACACAATAGACGTTGTTTTTCCAAAGTGATATACGATGATGCAATTGTGTTTAGTTATGTATAAAGTCATGCAAGAAGCTAAAAGCCAACTTACAGTTTGAGCAATATACATGCTGGTTCCAATCACTCGTAGCAGCTTGTTGAAACGCATCTCCAAGTACTTCAAAAACAGGTGACCAATTAAATTAATTATTGGCAAAGAAACAACAAATTTGCTTTATATAATTTACATAATTACACAAAACTCAGATTGTATGATGAACTATTACATACTGTTAACATCTGTTGTTTTTAAAGGTTAATGATGAGAATCTTGTGCTGAAAAGTCATATTATCTAAACCTTTTAGTTTCACTGTTTTCGAAATACATGTCATTTATTTATTTTAACTCTAAATCTATACATTTTTTGTTTTAATTTAGATTTATTTTGCATACATTTTTTGGTTGTTGTTTTTCCACACTGCAAAAGAATGATGTTATCAATTAGTCATGGAAACACATTTTTCTATTCCTTTAACTCAAAATAATTTAACCAATTTCAACTTTTTTTAACGGTTTTTTTTTAATAAGTTTTTAAGTTACGAGATTCGACCCAATTTTTTAAGTTATAATTTAACCTGAATTTACTTGTACAGCCAATTTTATTATACTTAAAAATTTAAGGCAGCAGCTGAACTTTAGTTCAGTTTTTAAGTTGAAGTAAAAGGAAATCTTGTACAGCGGTCATGGACAGTAACCAACAATAGCTTTTGCACTTTGGATTATACAATAAAACACTTCACTATGAAAATGTCTAATACGGTAAAATGTCAGAAGCGATAAATCCATACAAATAAACTACCCTGACATAACCTTCCTTTAAACCTTATCTCTCTCTCGCTCTCTCTCTCTGATCCTCATTTTTCCATCAATTGATTCTTTATCAAGCACAGGCACAAATGGTGTTTTCTGTCTCTGTCCTCATGCAAACCCCTCGTGCCCAGTGTTGCCCTCTTACCTCGTATGTGCTGGTGATGCTCAGCCGGTAAAACAGAGGCACGAAGATTTCAGCGCTGATGGTGGACATGATGGCATAGGAGAAGACGAAGAGCCAGAATGCGGTGCCGTACATGTACGCCTCTGCTGGGGTGCCAATAACAGTGATACCTGACATAAAACTAGCCGTGAGGGACAAAGCCACAGGCACTGCGGTCATCTGACGGCCGCCCAGGAGAAACTCTTCACTGCTGGCCTCCTTGCGTCCATGGATGGCTTGGAATAAGCCGATGCCCGCAGCAAAAAGGATCAAGCCGGCGAACACCACATAGTCCCATACTGAGAATGTCGCAACTAGACCTCCGCTGCCCGTCATGGTTTGGAAATTGCACTCAGAGAGACCTTCAAAAGCTATGAAGCCGGTCAGAAGTGATGTTCAGCTGGAAATTCCTCCGAAGCTTTTGCCAACAGGAAGACGAAACCAAGTAGCTCCTGTCAGTGCCAGTAACTGATAAGAAGTCAGGTCTTCTGTAATCTTGGACCAACCACAAAAAAAACTTGGGTTAATGATCCATCAAGGCCAGAAGACATACCAAGTTATATTGTAAAAGGAAGTGAATGTTTTGGGTTTTTTTTATTCCTAATCTCGCAGGAACAGTTCAATCGATGCTGCTTAATGAATTTAGGACGTTTTGTGCTGACTTTAATCACGCTTAGTCAGTTAACTCATTTGCCCTCCACTGATAAGCTAACAAGGTAAACCGCAATAGGCTCTTTTCAGGAGAATTCCAGAATATGACTAATGTACCATTTCATCACGTGCCCATAGCAGGTCATGTTAAACTCTTCAGTTCCTGGTACTGTTTTGAAGTTTACTTGAAAGAAGACTTTTGGTTTTGGTTCCAAATGTTTCCCATAGGTCCTGTTGAATCAGTATCGTCCAACGATTCCAGGTAAATCAGAAAAAGTGGGCTGTTTTCCATTCAGTTACAGCTTGACAGTAACATTACAGGTGATCAGATGAAGCAATTATTAACAGCATGTGCAACCATGGTTCTATGGGACGTCGTGAGAGATGAGTAAACACAAGATAGCTGTAAAATCAAACACTATTAAATGGCACATGTGTACTGTGAACATGAACCTATAGTTCACTTCAGTAAATCAGCATGGTGCTGAGACGGTTGAGGAAGTTCATCTGTGACACTGTCAAAACATCTTGTCATGGTGATGCTGTTAGAGGTTCTCCAAGCTGCAAAACCATTTTTAATGGCATTCTTTCTCCTGTTTGAGTGCCGAAGATGCATATCACTCAGCAGGCAAACTGTGCATGCATTTACTTTTCCATTTGCAATACTGTGAACTTTGCACACCAGATAAAACCTGAAAGATTTATATGATGAGAGCTTGGTAAATTGGCTGACCTGATAGAGTGTAGCTTTATTAAAGATCAGGTGTGTGATCTGCCAAGCTACTGTAGATGACTAAATGAAACCCATTTGTTGCCATGTTATAATACATCTACATGACCGACATAGGATATATTTCAACACTGAGTATCTTAGGAACACTAAAAAAGTATTAAATGAATCCTGTAATTATTGTAGAAAAGTGACATTATATATGCTTATACCAAAGCTATCATACAGTGGCAAGATTGATTTTGGATCAGACACTAAAAGCTGTGTGGGAAAGGAAAATGGCAAATGAGATCTCTTTCAGTTGTTTTCCTACCCTTCCCTAATAATTGAGATCTCAACAATGTCTCAAATTGTCCTCAGATACAAAGTTTGCAATCAAAGGTCACAGACTTTATTATAAAGTAATATATCTTAAAATATTTATCATCAAGTTCCTCCAAGACCAAGAGCTATACTATCAAAACCACTTACCAGTAAATAAATAACAATTGCCAATTTGTTATTTAAATTGTATTTATTATTTTGCTCATTTTAATTCCTTTTTTTTTCTTTTTTTTTATCCAGTCATTTTAGGACAAACACCTGAGACTTAAAGAGATAGTTCACCCAAAAATGAAAATTCTGTCATCATTTACTCACCCTCATGTCGTTCCAAACTGTATGAGTTGCTTGCTTATGTTGAACATAAAAGAAGATATTTTGAAGATTGCTGGTAATCAAACAGTTGGTGGTTGCCATTGACTTCCATAGTAGGAAAAAAAAAATACAATGTAAGTCAATGGCAACTACCAACTGTTTGATTACCAGCAATCTTCAAAATATCTTCTTTTATGTTCAACATAAGAAAGCAACTCATACAGGTTTGGAACGACATGAGGGTGAGTAAATGATGACAGAATTTTCATTTTTGGGTGAACTATCTCTTTAAGTTGATATTCAAGCATAACAGACCTGAGGATACGAAAAGCAGCAACAGCCTCTCTGAGGAGAAAAACCTTACTAATTTAGATTCAGCCTGAATATTTAGTGGGCCCTGAATGGTGACCATACAGCATACGGGTGATTTGGTTAGAAAGCGTTAGTTTTATGCATTCTGCAAAATAGATGATGATGGAGACAGATGGAGATCAGGTTCAGTGTTTTTATAAGAACAGCAGCCTCAACACAAGCAGGCTGAACCGGATCCTCCAGGTAAGTGGTCCTTTGATTTACTATAATACTGCTGTGCTGTTTGACAGTCAAAAAGTTGTGAAAAGCCCTGAATGTGCTCTGTACAGGACATCCAGACTTAAAACTGTGACAGAGAAATCACTAAAACATAATGTCCTCTACAGAGGACAAAACGCCATAGCTGGTAGTCAAAGCCCAGAAAGACACATGAAATGAGATTCAGTGTGTATTTTGAGTTTTAGTCTAGAAATGATTTTCTTCATTCATTCCAAGCTGTGCTGATTCGGGTTAGTGGGCTCGCAACGTGCTTTTCCTTTTCCACATCGCTGTTTTAAATTGTTCGAGTGAGAAGCTCTGAATTCTACATGATACAAGTTGCGTAGTTGTGACATTGGAGGAGGAGTCAATTGAAAACATGGAGAAAACACTGATCTGTATTATAATATAGATAATGTGTATAATTTATATAAAGATAGATCAGTGGGCAGAAAAGCAAGTCAACTCTTACGTTTTGCTTTACATTTAGTTGTGATTCCATGTAAAAATAAGTAGATAGAAATTTATTTTCATCCTTTTGAATCATGTAGTTATGTGGTTTATTGTTCACAGTGTATTTCATTTGTTTATACTGCTTCCATGTTATGTTTCCAACTTGAATGTGTGACATGTCGCAATAATAAACGCCAGCCTCGAGGGTACTGGAAGGCAGCATACACAACCGCATAACAATACACCGGCAACCACCCACAAGTGCCAGTGTTGTGCCCATTTTCGACCCCCTGCTAAATTATTACCCCTCTCGTTGAAATCGCTATCTGATTGCCTAATCCTAACTCCACACCTAACCCTAAACCTATCAATACTAGGGGGGCTATCTGATTGCCTAATCCTAACCCCACACCTAACCCTAAACCTATCAATACTAGGGGGGTAATAATCTGGCAGGGGTCAGAATTGGGCACCACCCACAGGATGACTTTTAATTTGTGTTGCCTGGTTTACTGTCTAGTTTTGTGATTTTTAGTGTTTCTTTTTCATTATATTATGGTTCTCCATCTCTTTAATAGACACCCTGGTATACCGCCAGCTATGTCTCCTGTGTATGTGGTTGGCATGCTGGGATTTTTGATGAAGGTAGCCATGCCTATGTGTGCCCCCACTGAGTACACCATTTACATCGAGAGACAGGAGTGCAATTACTGTGTGGCTGTCAACACCACCATCTGCATGGGCTTCTGTTTCTCCAGGGTAAGTGGACGCGGTGAGGAAGATGTATAGAGAACTGGATCCAAGGAGAAATGTCCCAACTTGCAGCACGACAAGCTGATTTCCACAAATGATTGAATGACTTCTGTTATTGTTTGCCAAGCCTGTATGACGGAGTTCTTTCTGTGGAACACAAACAGAGATAAAAAAAAATGTATTTCCATTGTTTATCATTTTGTTTTGGGTTCCACAGAAGAACAAAGGTCATATGGGTTTGGAAATATGAGGATGCAATCTATTTCACAATCTGTTATGTTAAGAAACAATCTGGGATATTCTAGTTCATAACCTAGATGTTTGATTTAGTGACAATGGGGCTAAATCTGCATCACAACATTCATCCTATAGGACAGTAATGTGAAGGATTTGGTGGGTCCTCGTTTCCTGGTTCAGAGGGGCTGCACGTATCAAGAAGTAGAATACCGGATGGCCATCTTGCCCGGCTGCCCTTCACATGCAGATCCTCACTTCACCTATCCGGTGGCCCTTAGTTGCCACTGCAGCACCTGTAACACCCACAGTGATGAATGTGCCCACAAAACCAGCAACGCTGGCTTGAAATGCTCCAAACCTGTCCGTCATTTGTACCCTGAGAACAACTACATCCAGGCATATTGCACTGTAAAACCAGATAAGTTAATATAACTCAAAAAAATAGTTGAAACTGATTACATCGAAATTTTTAAGTTATATTAACTAAATTTTATAAGTTAAAGAAACATCTTTTTTTTTTTAAGTAAATGCTATTAAGTAACCACAAATCATTAACAAAACATCAACATTAAATTGTTTGTCAAATGGAAATACATTCTCCAAAACAGTGCAAGGCCCTTGAGAAATGAGCTGAGATAATAACTTTTAAATCACTTTTAGAAGTGGACAATATGGATATCTGGATACCACCCAGCTGTAAACACTTCCCTAAAATAGGAACACTTCCAAAATTCACATCAAACAGTAACTTTAGAAATATAAAAGTAATACTAGAATAAAATATACGAGAAATTTCAAAATAGAGCAATGTTTTTTTTTTAAACAGTAATTTCTATGAGTGGATGAACACATGGTACTGTATATGGAACTTATACCATTCCAGAAAATCAACTGAGAAAATGTTCTGCAAATTAAATACTAGACAAATATTGTAAAAAAAGAAAGAAAGAAAGAAAGAAATGTACTAAAAGTGAAGTGAAAGTTTAAATGAAATGTCAAATAAAACAGTACCTTTGTAAGCTTTGTTCAAACACTGAGGAAACTCTACTGACAAAAGTTAATTTTTAAGACTCAACATTCTGGGTCTCAGCTTCCCATCCTCCAGACAGACCCATCAAGAATATGTGGGTAACTCTTTTAGGGAACTTAGATCCAAGGCGTACGTTAGTCCAAAAAGCATGACAAATGCATGAGCCAATGAGGGGAAATCGTTAACTGTTACCCAAAGTACAACTTCAGTCTTCTCTGAGCAGAAGAACGTGGCAACTGTTGAATTGTTACTAATGGAGAGGAAACGAAGTGACACATCATCAACATCTGGTTCATCAGATTGTTCTACCTGAAGACAAAAACAGAGTAATGTTACTGTAAAGTTCCAAAGGCTGACTGCTAACAAGTGACATATATTTACATCTACTCCAAACCATTCTATCCCATACAATTAACTACAATTATAATTGATAGCCTATATGCAAAACCTGGAACTAGAAGCAGAATGACATCTGAATGGAAGGTGAGATTGTTGATTACCGAACAGTTTCAGGTTGCATTGATTTTCATAGAATTTTTTCCATACTATGGAAGCTATGTTAGAACAAAAACTGTTTGGTTACCAACAATCTCTCCTGCCATTCAGATGTCATTCAGGCTGTAGTTCCAGGTTTTGAATATATCCTTTATAATTGTAGTAATTCTTTGGTATTCTGTAAAAGAGTGTAAATGACGACTAGGCAGCATTTTGATTTTTAGTGATCACTCTCTCTAAATTCTAAAGGTGGGCAGGGCAACTTTTTTTTAGCAATGTTGCTTGGGCACTTTCCCATTGAAAATGGGCAACAAATTTCTATCCGGATACTTTAGATCGGTCGTGTGCCCTGTGGCAGCAGCTAGTTGAGGGCGGAGCACGCAAGCACGTGCGTGACGTCAGACGGGATTGTACTAAAATTATTTGAGTACACTGCCAAAAACAAATGAAAACATTTGAGTGCTGTAAACTTAAAATTAAATTTTTATACTAATTACTCAAAAAATTGGAGGCGAATGAACGTTTTTATTTCTTTTGAGTAATTACAACCCAATTCCTTTATCAAAGATTTACTATTTGGTCCTACAGTGTGGGAACAGTATGAGTAATGTTTAATTAACTAAATCTTAAATTAAACAGTGTTTGTGCTGTAGCAGTTGACTGTGGGCAGTTCTTTTTTAGGTAATCTTTGAGTAAACCTTATGTCACAAAGTTACCTAACACATTATGGTTGCTGTATTTTATATCCAGCATATGATGTCTTTAATGAGGCCAAAAGTGGTTAAAAAGAAGGTGTGTTTTTAATGGGGTTCAAATACTTATGATTTTATGGATAATATAAATTCTGTAAACTTTAGTTATGTTTTAGTGTTTGATTGGCAGTGCTTCTATAAAAAATACAGAGTGAAAATCCTTCCATAAAAATGAGTTTTTATCATTATTGTTTGTGTTTATGGTTTAACAGTTTGTTTCTGTGTAATTATTCATACTCTTGTGGTTACCAGTAAACTGTAAAAGCTTGTCGTGCAATAGATGCAAAATGAGAGGTGAAGAAATTTCAGTCCCAGAACCAACAAACTTTAATGGCGATTTGTATTTGTTTTACGTTTTGGCAAATTGGTAGCTAATTCATATGAATTTGTATGATTCCTTTAGTACATTTTCATACGATTTGCTTAAGTCCCATAATTATGGAAGCCCGTTTCCGCCACTGAATAAAAAAATATAATTCTGTAAGTCATAATAATGAGAAAATTTCTCAAAATTATGACTTAGTATCTCGTTATATTGAGAAACTTTCTCGTAATAATGACTTAGTTTCTCGTAATAATGAGAAACTTTCTCGTAATAATGAGAAACTTTCTCGTAATAATGAGAAACTTTCTCG